TGTCATATCGTATCAAAAAAGCATTCGTAGTACGCCAATACGCCGTAACAATGCTTTGCTGCCACGCAACCATGACCAGTTATGAGTGGGCTAAGGATACAACGTGGGTCGCCTGGTCACCTAAGCAGGCTCTAAACCGTGACACTGGGGATGCAAGATAGATGCCTTGTTCTTACTGCCACCGGTCACTCTGGCAAGTGTGTATAATTTCTGTTCATCGGAAAGTTCCGAAATATCGTCCAAATCATGAACGACATAATGCAGAGGGGCAGAGATCATGAAACATAAGTTCATTAGCTCTGGTTTGACGCAGTGGATGTTAGAGTTGGAATATATCTGCACAAATCATGTCCTTGGACATAGAAAGGAGTGACTGCATTTCTGCTGAGGAACCATCCACAATTTGGACTCAAACTGCATCCTCACAGGCGCAAAAGTAGCGGCAAATTGCAGAAAAAGCGAGCACAACCAGAAAACGTGCGTATAGATAATCGAGATGGACTGAAAATAACAGTCAGATGCAGGAAACCGAAAGCAGGAAGGACGTTGATTGTGCGGTTGTATCGTGTCTGACAGTTTCCAGAGATTGGTGTGGACCATCCCAGGTATCCCCATCCACAAAAACCTAGCCAACGTACGCAGCTGAGCAAACACACAAGGCGGCACCAGAGGGTCACTTGCCAAAAGCCAACTGGCGGACCTCAGCATTGCTCCCCAGGTGTTCTTAGCAGATGTCAGCGATATTCCGTAAGCAAAGATGATCAAAAACGGTCCCAGAGAAGTATACAACCATCCTACATACGTGTTATCCTCATGTTCCCGATAGAATGGTCTACATCTAGCAGTCCTCACAATTCGCTGTTAATAGCAGTCTAAGACAAGGCTACGCTACGTCCCCTTTCCACTACAATTTCACCAACTAAAGATGTCCTGTCAAAACCACCAGGTTTATAAAATTGTGGGCTACAGCTTCCGCCTGGCAAGCGCGCGACCGAATTAGACTATGTAGATGACATTGCTTTACTTGGTGACGATCTGCAAAGTACGCAACACGTTCTGAAAAGTTTGGCGGTTGAAGTACTAATGTATGACATTTGCTTCGACCCATACCCGATTCCATGTTAATCCTTGAAGGCACACAAACCAAACAAGTAGATAGTTACGTCTACTTTGTTGGCTGCGTTTCTGATAGTGACTCTATCAGCAAGAAAGTTCCTTTTCTCAAACCTAAATATCGATCGGCATTTGTCAATTCGTAACCCTTGTGGCTTCGTCGAGACGTCTCCATCTAGGTAAAAGAAAATGCGTTCACACCGCTTCCGTTGTGCGGGAGCGAGGCCTGGTCAATTCGCATGAAAGACAAGTACTGGCTTTCCGCCTTTGACAATGGTTGTTTGAGGAGAATCGCTACTGCGTGGTGACAACATTGAGGTCATATCGAGGATGTTAGACATCATACCTTAAGGAATGAGAGTGTTCCCTTCATCAAGCTGGTTTCATTCTTCCAGTTGAGATGTCGATCATTTCCTATGGATAGAGCCCGAGAAACTACCGCGCTGAGTCCTATTTGCCAGAGCAGGAGACCGGGCTGGAGGCGGCCGCCTGGTGGTCAGCCTTTACTTGGCGATACCACATGAAATCGATGACGTCAGATCTAGCGGCCGTAAGACCTGCAGGCCTTCATGGATGGAGAGCAGCGATAAGGACCACCAATCACTTAAATAAATGGCCTGCAACTAGAATCAGGTCCGGATGGCTGAGACATGTGGTTCGCATGCTAGCATACCGACTCCCGCATACTGCGTTCTTTGCGTGCCCGGGGTCAGGGTAGAAGAAGAGGAGAGGAAGCCAAGCGATGAATTGGTCAAGAGTAATGAAATCCTTCACTTCGAACATAGCGTCGGTTGGTGTTTCCCGACAGCCTGGTTAGGGAACGAAGGGCGATGAACACGTCTGGTTGAACACACTAGCTGACAGCGGAAAGCCGACCTCAACGGCGTTTGTGTTGTGAGTTTCTCTCTCCCCTACCCTTAAGCTTTTTCAACAACGATATTTAGTATTATGTCACGCTTTTTATAGCTTTTTTATTTGGTATTGCTTAATCACTTATTTTTTGGTGTTGTGGCAAAGTAGCTGAGGTGGGTTTCCCACCCTCGACTTGCAGATATTATTAATGATGATGATGACGATAAGATGTTGGATAAAATGGGTTGGGGTAGCGTTAGATCAGTCGACCAACTATAGTCATATTTTTGGATATTCGAGCCGCTTTTGACTCTGTTGACAGAGTGGTTTTCTGGGACTGCTTACTGAAGAGGGGAGTACCTGAGAAGTACATCAAAACTCTCCGTGCTATTTACCATCAAACTTCGGGCCGCGTGCGAGAATACGGAGAGATTTCGCCCCCTTTTAGTATCATCAGCGGTGTCAGACATGGTTGTCCAACCTCTCCAATCTTGTTCAACTTCGCCATGGACAAGATCCTGGATACTGCCCTGGATAACTCTGAGTCCTGCGGATGACATCGCTGTGATTTGTGAGTACTCCCAAACCGCCCAGCATGTGCTGCTCAGACTGGAGATGTTCGCCGCCCAATCTGCGTTGAGCTTGGACCCTTCCACATGTAAGGTCCTATTATAGGACTGGTCAAGCGCATGTCCTTCTCTCACCCTTTCGGAGCATCCGTTGAAAGTGGTCGACAAATGCATTTATCTTGGGAGTTGTCTTAGTATCGGCAGTTACACGGAGATGTCCCTGAGTCACCAAGGCTAGAATAGCTTCCGCTAAGCTTCGTCACCTGTGGCTTCGTTGTGACCTCAGCCTCCCACTCAAGGGACGTCTATAATGCTACGGTACGAGCAATTCTGCTGTACGGTTGTGAGACTTGGCCCGTCCACAAAAATGATGTTCAACGGCTATCAGTCTTCGATCACCGCTGCCTGCGAAGCATTGCTGGTGTTCGATGGCAGCACTACATCAGTAATGAGAAAATTGGTCGGCGAGTCTTCAGATCTGACAAACTCCGCCGATCGATTGATAGCCTACCAAGCGGATACCAGGACGAGCCCTATCTGCGAGCACAGGCGTGGCTTGGAAGCGAAGAAAAGGAAAACAATGTAAACCTTGGGTCCAATGTGTTAAGGCGCAAACGTTGAAGCTGACTGTTGTCGGGTGTTCCCGACTCCCAGGATGGGGACCAAAAGACCCCGAGCACACCTGTTGCAAACGCTGGAGCATATGGCCAAGGACCGTCTGCAATGGCGCACTTGCTGTGAGACTCTACTACCCTGAGAGAGTTGTTCTCGCTTTTATGCTATCCTGTTTTGTTCTTATGTGTTGTGGCACTAAACCAATTATATTGTAACTGGTATAGTGTTGAATATATACGGTTGGCGGCATCCGGTTTCGGATTTGCCTGTCACTGTGGCAAGCCACAGGACGCCTGCGCCTACAGAGGGACCATGGATGGCTTGCGCTGCACCACCCACAGCTCCAACCACATACCCATATCCAGTGTAAACCCGAAGGAATAAGACCGGGAGGCACGCGGATGGGAGCCACGTTTCATCAACGGAGCCGGCCCACACTTCTTCACAAGCAAACACAAGCACGCTGTATTTGGGGAATCAACCGCACACAAGGCGGTGGTTGGACCGTAGTCCGCTCCACACTGAGTACATAGAACCACTCTTCCAGCTTAGCACGACCACAAGGACCGTGCACCCCGTCCCCTCCAGCAACGACCAACTGTCTCCTGGAGCCAGTATGAACGAGGTAGCGGGTGATAGACAGGTAGACACGTTGTCAACATGCACATCAAGCGCAGCCACGCCTGGGATGTCAAACAAAAGCCAATCACTCTAAATGCCGATATCGAATAAAGTAGACGCATATGACGACATAAACACTCGCTAAATGAGCATATAGAAGAAATTGGTTATAAGTAAATCCGTGATAAGTACAAAGGGTCCGAGTTATTTAAATAATACCCCGCGATGCAATTACGCAAGTTTACCACAATTTGCATGAGCGACGTGCGCAAGTTGGGAGAAGACAATCAAGTACGTAGAACAAACCAAATGAAAGGTAACGAATTTTATCCACATTAAAAAGACTCAGTTTAAGTGTAAGTTGGTTTAGCCCAACTGCGGTGAAGAAGCATCATGAATGCAACATCAGCCTCAGCATGGGGCACGTTGAATATATATATATATATATATATATATATATATATATATATATATATATATATATATATATATATATATATACGCCAAACTTAAGTATGTGTCGGTCTAGAGATTACCGGAGTCAGGCAATAACTAACCGACATGACAGTGGAGGATGAACCGCGCCATATCGTTGTCAACTGTTAGTCATGCATGTCCACCGCCGTCACAATTAGCTTAGCAGGACAAGCTGCTGGCATCCGGAAGTCATGGGGTCGGAACGCAGTAGGGGTTCGAAGAACGCGCATCCCTGAGGAGGCTCGGAAGGTCAAAACGGCTGTCTGGTGCTTCTCCAGACGAGTGGGAGCCTATCCAAATCCCTACCGCTCATTAGTAATAATTTCCAGTTCTGGATAGTGAATAACGTAACTAGGCCAAATAGTAAAATACCGGCGACAAGCAAGGGCAGGGAACAAGATAGCAAATCCAGCTACAGTGCGTGGGACTGCACGTCTAAAAATGGAGAATCGCGTGCACCAGAGCAATCCGCCCTATCAGATTGATTGGTATACAAGTAAGCTGAGAGATGAGAGAAAAAGCCGATATCAGACGAGTTGTTGTTTGGGAAAGTTAGATCTTATATTCCGTGTTACATTACAAGTGGTTTGCCTTTCGATTCTAGAAACGTTCCGAATTCGGTTCCGATGAACAAGGTTCAAACATATAAGCAAAGACTACAAGTAATGAGTGATACATTAAGCATCACAAAGCTCGGCAAGTGTGATTAAGGCGAACCACAAAGCAGAGTGATTACTGTCGACATAAACGTACGTTATCGGATTGCACAATTACTTTGAAGTCCGGTGCCTGCATGATTCCGTCCACCAGCAAACTAAAGGGACATTATAAACACAGAGGGTTGGGTAGTTGAATGCCAAAAAGCGTTCAAGTTCAGGTGAGACTGGAACGGTAGGAGAATCTCATTAATCTTTCTTCTTGAGTGAATCACTGAACTAGGAAGTGGTAAGGTGCTTGGTGGGCTTGACAGATCTAAAACGGAACATCCGATTAGCATTACCTCATCATTAGCAATATTCATTATCTGGACGTGAGAAACACATTTCAACTAGTAAGTTGTAATAAAAGGAAAACATAACACTACAGAATATAAAAAGTAACACGCTGCTTAGTAACACATTATGCTTAAAGACAGAGATCGTGGTTGGAGGGGGAATCCAAGCAGGATGGGGAGGGACAAAGAAACGCCCAACACGTAAGGGGTTGGAGCCGGCTCTTTGTTTATTGCTGGCGTTGAGCTTCTCCTAGGTAGCAGAGTTGTTGACTTGGAGTACGCTGATGATATCGTCTCGTAGGGTGACGGTCCACATTCTATCCAACTTGCACTTAACCGTTTGGCAATTGAAGCGTCGAAATGTAGGATGGTTTTTTCGTCATCCATGCAAAGCTCTCCTTCAGGACTTTCAGATGCCTGTACATGCACTCACTCTTAGTGATGACACACTGGAGGTAGTGGAGAGTTTTGTCTAGCTAGGAAGCCGCGCAACTGCCAGTGCTGTTCGTAAGGAGATTTCGATGCTTAGTATCTCAAGAGCTCGTCTCGGTTTCTCTAGGCTGAGGCACTTGCGGCGCCGCCATGATATCCATCTATTCACCAAACGGCGGGCATCTATCGAGGCAGCTTAGTGGGATTCAGATCACGCAGGAGTTTGAGTACCTGAGCTACCGAGATGGAAATGTCCGTCAGGAACGAATCCACTGGGATGTTTACGTTTAAATCGATATTAGACAACGGAGATTCACGAACAAACGACCTTGCATACCGTTCCGCAAGTAAGCGGGCCTTGGCTTGATCGGATGATGCATCAGTGCCGTCAGGTTCAAAAAGCACAGGGATAGGCGAATTTGCATTGCATCGCCGTTTGATGTAGCCAAAAAATCCTTTTCGGATCGAGCCAATGTTGGTTCATACCTCAAACGTGTGGCCCGCAGGTGCTATTTACATGCATTTCATACGCCTCATAACGGTGATAGGTACCTTCTGAAGGAGCTGATACGTAAAGCCCCCAACATCTGGATCCTCTACTGAGCATCCTGCGCGCCTCATATTCAAACCAAGGCGGTTTGGCCCCCCACAAAAAGGATTTAAATTTGTCCCAAGTGAACTAGACGATATGATCCCCTGAGATGATGCAAGGGGATTTGGAGCCCTGTCCCTGATGGCTAGAAAATCATCGTGCCATAATTATGGCCTGGTAATAAATTCTTTACGGCCTTGACTTAAGGCATACTTGAATAACAGGCACACGTGATCAGTAGAGCCCAAGGGAAAATCATAAACTACATCTCATGCAAAATCCATCGATTTCGCAAAGATACGGTTTAAAGGAGAAAGCTTTTAGCCCTGCATGAACCTAGTTGGTCTCTGTACAAACTGAAGAATAGGTACTTGTAAGGAAAGGTCAAGGTCAGTAGAAAAACATCCTAACACTGCTGTGCAGAAGAAATTTCTCCAAACAACCTCAGGAACACTAAAATCATCTATAACCATATATCTACTGGTCGTATGAGTAAGAATGTAATCAATAAGCCCGCTTGACACACTTTCGCCGCTTATGTATATTAAAACAATCTTGAATTGCGTGAAAGAGGTGTACAGATCCATCGACAGAACCTCAGCAGTTACCGCTGGAGAACTGAACACATATGTTCGTAAAATAGTTAAGGTAGATCTGATGTAGAGAGCAACTCCACCTACGCGACGAGGCGCGATCAGCTCGCAGTAGGGTATAGTCAAGCAGACACACTTCACTGTCCGGGATGTCGGAGAAAAACCACGTCTCAGCAAAAGCAAGTACGTCTGGATGGGAGCTTTCTACAAGAGTGCCAATCTCGCACATCTTGTTCCTCAGACTACACAGGTTGCTGAGAACTACTTTAAGGAAATTGGAATTGTGAGCAGGAGATCGGGTGACACTACAACAGGCTCTGGAAGGGCGGAAGTAGACCGGCTCGCCACCCAAAAAAGCACCGATCTTAGTCCCGTTTCACCCGCCTTGCGACAAGCTTTTAGGTCCTTTATGGCGGCTTTCAATTTCAACCTAGCACCCAAAGGGTGGTCAGGTTGAATACTGACCCCAAAACAACTGAGTATAAAAGCGAAACGCAGAAGCACCTTAGGCTCGTCCAGTGTTGAAAGAATGACTCTCAGTAAATGGGTTTGATGTCCGAAACATCGACCGACACAGACCCAAGCCTAATGAGTTTCCGTACAGGTACGCCAGGAAGCTCAGGCGGTAGCAATTTAGAAACGCGTTCGCTATTTTGCAAGGGAGACGGTGGACACCGTGAGGTTACTGAAAATGACACTACCATCAGTGTAAGAGTCACTGCTGTGAGTGGTGTCTACACCACGTACCACAGTCGCAGGAGCCTGCAAATGGGTAGCTGGTTTCTTGGATGCAATAGCCGCGTAGGAAGTCTGTGCAGACAGACCGGAGAACTTAGTACTGAAGGCAATACAAGTGATATGCTTACCCGGCCTTCTGTACACCCAGTTACAACCGCATATTGCAAGCTTAAAGCTTTCTTTTTCTTGCTACACCTATGTTTTGCTGGTAAGTGTGTCTGTAACGCTTTGTCACTAGCAGTGGAATCACGCAGTCCCTCTAACTGTTTATCGCAACTAGCTAACAATCAGTTGTTAGAAAGAGCGTTAAGTCGACGGAATCCGTTCGCGTGCTACTATCTGCCAATTCCACTTGGCCAGAAATAACGGAAGGCGTCAACTTTCCCATCCAAAGAAGTCAACAGCAAAGACAACACTCCTTCCATGTCTGCTGGTGTGAAAACAAGCGAATCAAACTAATCCCTCGTGGTTACGCAGGGATGAGCTTTTAGCTTAAAAGGATCGTCACAGCTATATAGTAACGTAACAGTGCTTGCCAAAAGAGCATAGTGATCTGCAGGCAAACCGGTGCATTCCACATGTGACCATCTACCGCAAAGATCGCGATGTATGCCAACCGACAAGTCGGTTACAGGTACAGAACATCTCTCTAAGCCGCATAGGGAAACTGAATCAGCAGATTTAGGACCACATTGACAGCAAAGAAGCAAAGGTATGTAAGAGCAGAAGGAGAAAGTGAGGACCGGCTTGCGAAGGCCTACAATGCAGTCAACAAGGGCAAAGTCGGATAATACCGCAAGCGAAATACAGCAAACGCAGGAATCCAGTCACACTTCACGAGTTCACTTACCACGCCCACTAAGATATATTTACATATACAGACACACAAAATCAAGTAGGTAACTGGTTAACTTGATACATTCTTATACAAATACCGACCATACCTGTTTGTATTATCATGATCATGCCTTCGCAAGCGTGTCCCGCACTGCCGGGAATAAAACATGTATTCAGCGCTTCCTGCGAATAGCATCGTCCTTCCTGAGTTCTCGGATTTTGGAAGTGTATTCTAAGGAGACTGAGTGAGAAAACTTTACTCAATTCCGTCAATTATCTGATCCAAGATACCTTGGATGTTGGATCTTGTTAACTCGACGCTTGGTATTCGACCTGCTTCTTGGGTCCGAAGGATGCTTTTTCTAATTTCCGCTGGTTTACATCGTCTATCATTTCCCCATGGCTTCTAAATGTGTTTCTTGAAGTAATGGTGTCACTGCATGCCGGTTTACCAGCGCTTGGTCCACGTCCCTCTCTTCCTCACACCGTGTTGCTTGTTTCGCCGGACGCAGTCTTACCTGGGGGTTCTCCTTCCCCCTGTTCTGGGTTCGTAACTCCCATCGGTAAGCAAAGTCGTGCCGTCGCCCTCAGTAAATGTTGCTACTCAGCATGCCGAGCCTCCGGTCAGGACCTATGCATCTGTGGTGCAGGAATTCGCGGCGCCGTCAGGCAGCAGTAACTCAGACATGCGAGAAGTGGAGCCAAAAGCAAAGTCTAGTGTCAAATCGAAGCCCTCTTCTTGATAGTTACTCAACTGGAGAATTTGTTTAAGGACAAATCGATTTCACATAAGCAGCAGGCATCTAGGGATTCCTATCGCCCTTCTCGTGATCACTGCCTGATAGTTGTAAATGCGCCTGAGTCTTCTAAAGCTACGCTAGCTGAAAGGATCCTAGACGATGAAGCGATTCTAAAACGGATTGCTTCACTGCTGTTTGATGAGGGTGAACCAGGGATAAATGTTGTTTCTGCCTTTCGTATTGGTAGGAAGCAGAAGGACTCTGCAAAGTCTCGCCCTCTCAAGATCGTATGCCAAAATGAATATGGATGCAGGCGCATACTTCGACGTACTTCATGTCATAAACGAGAATCGTTTAATTTTCTGAGAGATCTGTCCCCTGAAGGCCCTCACTTCTGAGCTGGCCTCGGTTGGAGCGTCTCGGCTCCCTGGTTGGGGTCCGAAAGACCATGAACACGTTTGGTTGGACACACTTGCTGATATGGCTAGGAGCCGACCTCAGTGGCGTTCGTGCTGTGAGTTTCTTTGTCCCACCCCATGCCGCTTAGCCTCCCCCTCCAACCACGATCTCATTATTTAACCTTATATAATTTTGCATAGTAATTTTTTTGATGCATAGTAGCCGGCTGGTAGCTTACCGGAACGATGCCCATCCGTTGCCGGTAGCTCAGCCGGCTTGCCCCAGTTGAACTCTTTTTTTCTCTCCTTTTTTTCTGTGTATTGCGGCACAGTAGCTGAGGTGTTGCCCACCTCTAGCTAACGTGTATGATGATGATGATGATGATCTGTCCCCTGAGGATCGGATAAAAATGAAGAGTGCAGTTGATGAACTCCGAACCCACCGGGCAAATGGTGAAACAGACCTTCACATTGTGGATTTACGAGTGGTTCGGAAAACCCCGAGAACTCGCTGGAGACCCATCCTCGTCCTACCCCGACATTAAGGTCGAAGAACGGCTGCGTGTGTTGTCCGCTAATATGCGCAGTTTGTGGAACAAATTGGACGAGGTCCAACTTCTTGCCATCGATAATCACCCTGACTTGATGG